TTTAAATTAGTTTTGGCGACGGTTCATTTGTAAAATTAGTTTTTTTGCAAAGGGTCAAATTGTCAAAATTAATGGAAGTGCGACCGTGTATGGAGAAAAGAGAAGCATGTGGGCCGGCTTGGGCTGAGCGTACGCCAGCAACTTATAACTTATCAAGCGCATATGTGCCGATTAGTTTTTTCAAGATGAGAATAGGTGTAAAGGTTATTATATTTTAGTACAAATGTTGAACCCTATTAGGTGATGAGTATATTTTAGAACAGATATATCCTTGGGAGCTTGACAAATATGCACAACATAATTCAAATACAATCTACGGAGAATGCGTCCATAAAACCAAATCTCTATACGAACGTTAGATAAAGTGTGAAAAAATAATTGGGGGAAAATCAGTCCCCCAAAGTCCTTACACATAGAGATTTTAAAGAAAACCAAGAAAGTACCAAATCAGATACATCCTGAGGACACGAGTGATCACTACTCTAGAAACTACGGAAAGTTACAACTCAACACATGTGGGAGTGGTTGCTGTTGTGTTGATCTCGTGATTGGATTATAAACTCTGAAGGAACCATCTTCTCATTGTTTGTATTTTTTGCTTATAATTAAAATGGTTGAAAAAAAGTTTTAAAAAATAAAAAGACAGACTAAAATGGAGTGATTTATCATATATATTATTGATATTTTAATAATTTTTAAAAATTATTTAAATTACATGTAAACCACGAGAGACTCAAAAGTGGTTAGAGTTCCCAGCGAATATGTCGTTTTACACGGCACTAGGTAGATCGCTGAAGCCAGTGATTCCGGCAAGGCGGCGCGGGTCCACCAGGGACACGTCGCACGGCACCCGGAGCGCCGCGGCGTCGCCGACCCTGTCCCAGCACGACGCCACCTTCCGCTGCCCGTAGTACGGCATCGCGAGCGTCACCTCGAACAGCGCCTCGCCGCGCCGCATGTCCTCCGCGAGGGCGTCCAGCTGTGTCCCCGGCACGCGCGCCCCGCTCCCCCGCGCGACGACGGAGCCGTCCTCCGCCGCGCCCATCGGCCCCGCGCAGAGCTCCGGGTCCGCCGGCGCGCGCCCGCCGGCCAGCGGGACGCCGCGGTAGGACACCAGCACCGACGTGCCGGCCCTGACGCACGCCCCGCGGGTGGAGCTCCGCGAGGCGACGCGGACGGTCAGGCTGAACACCGGGTCGAGCGCCGGCCGGCCGAGGTCCGTGGACGGGTCGACGCCCGAGACGGCGTTGATCGCGACGAAGTAGTCGGGCGGGCTCGCCGCCATCCCGTCCGTGTCGGGCCGGCGGATGCAGAGGACGACCAGCATGATCGCGAAGATGGCCAGAAACAGGCCGAAGCATACACCGAAGGCATCCGTGTACTCATCGTCTTCTTCTTCTTCCTCCGGTCGAAAGGAGCTGCGTCGACCAAGGAGAGGTGGCTGTTCTTGCTCCGGGAACGCACCCATGGCCTCCTCTCCAGATTTGGGCTTCTACGCTTGACGTGACGTCGTGTCAATTGTTACCAGCACGTACTCGTGGACATCCATGGAGTTTGCAATTGTAATCGGCCGCGGCAAACGCAGAATTCTACAACGCATCAACGCGAAACATTCGAATAGAAATCAAATTATCTCCCGTATCATTGCCGAACTCATCTGTAAATCAAACTCCCAATCTGATTACTCCTTGGATTAATCTTCCAACTGCGACCTGTATATAACTGACGCCTTGATACGGCGGACGCTAAGTCATAACGCCTTTCTTCGGGACTGTCTAGGCATCTGTCGTGTGATTTTTGAGAAAAAATCACTCAAATTTTTCCTCCCCTCAAATCTGCATCTAACGGTAAAAAAAAATTAACAGTACAGAGAAACCGTCCATGTAGCCTGTGATTGTGCTCGTTAGTAGAGTAGTTGCATTTATAACTAAAATTACGGTGTTTTATAACTAAAATTACATTTGTAAAAACAGTAGATATGGCATGTAAGTGCACTATAATTTTAGTACAAGTGCACTGTAAATTTTGGTAACTAGAATATTTGTCGTTTTAGTATAAATACATTGCTTGAGAAACCATGCAGATATCTGAAGTGTTAAATGTTGCATTTATAACTAAAATTACATTTGTAAAAACAATAGATATGGCATGTAAGTGCATTGTTTTAGTACAAGTGCACTGTAAATTTTGGTAACTAGAATATTTGTCGTTTTAGTATAAATACATTGCTTGAGAAACCGTGCAGATATCTGAAGTGTTAAATGTTGCATTTATAACTAAAATTACAGTGCTTTATAACTAAAATTACATTTGTAAAAATAGTAGATATGGCATGTAAGTGCATTGTTTTAGTACAAGTGCGCTATAAATTTTGGTAACTGGAATATTTGTCGTTTTAGTACAAATACATTGTTTGAGAAACCATGCAGATATCTGAAGTGTTAAATGTTACATTTATAACTAAAATTACAGTGCTTTATAATTAAAATTATATTTGGAAAAATAGTAGATATGGCATGTAAGTAGACTGTAATTTTAGTATAAGTGCACTGTAAACTTTTTTGTAACTAGAAAAAGAAAGAAAGAAATAGAGAGAAGAAATAAATGGCTACTAACATGCGTGATGTATAGGAATCCATCGATACAAAGTCAGGTTGACTCGGTCATGGAATCAACTGACCGTGGTTTTGCACAAATCTTGGAAAACATCGTGCGGCGAGAAAAACGTCAAATACTATGAAAAAAATCACCCGATAAATATTTAGCAAAACCGCCTTTCTTCTACTGTTGCTTAGATCGCGTACGGAGAGAAACCTACGAAATCGTCGACATGGGGCGCTCGCGGGAGTACTTATGCGAGCGGCTCGTTGATTCTTACGATGGAAGACTGCGGCGTGATGATGAAGGGGTTCTGCTGGAATATCCTTCAGGGGATCCTCGGCGCCCTCACGGCGCTGGTGCTCATGTCAGCGTTGCTCTACTATCCCTACAAGTGGTCCTTCGACGACGGCAAGTCCGCGGAGTTCAGCGTCGCCGTCGCCGGCGTCAGCGGGCTCGACCCGGACCGCGACCTCGGGCGGCCCACGCTGGACCCCACGTTCGACCTCACCGTCCGCATCAAGGAGCCGCGCAGGTACAGCGTGGCGTGCGTCGAGCGCGGCACGACGGCGGCCGTGTCCTACCGCGGCGTCCAGCTGGCGAGCGGGCCCGCGCCGGAGCTCTGCGGGAGGAACGAGAACACCACGGAGGCGAGGTCCGTGATGGCGTGGGGCCACGCGAACGCCGTCCCAGAGTTCGCGCGGGAGCGCCTCGCCGAGGAGCTCCGCCGCGGGGACGCGGCGGTGGACGTGACCCTGACGACGCCGGCGAGGTACTGCAGGTCGTGCATGCAGACGGTGATCGAGTGCAAGCATCGCGTGGGCAGCGGGGAGTTCTCGCCGCGGTGCGGCGTGACGACGGATTTCCCGACCTTTCCCGACAGCCCAGACGTGCCGTATCCGCTGTATCAGGTATTGCAGCCAGGGAGGAGGCTCCTCAGGTGGTAGTCAGGTTGCTAATCTAGGTTGTTTTTTTTTTTTTGGGAGGAAATCAATTGTAACAGCATCATAAGGATTTCGTTTTTTAATGAATTTCATCTGTTTTTATTTGACAATGACAATGAGTCAGTGATCCATATGCATTCAGTTTTTATTGATGTTGACGATTGAAAGTGTTTTTTTTTCTTGACGCATCTGGCATCCTGGTGTTAATGATCAAGTGATCTCTCAAAATTCAAGTAATCATTCGTAATAGTGGATTCATGAGAGAGATTTTATAAAGGAACTACCCATGTAACTTTCCATTGAGAAGTTCCTAAAAACTTTATTAAGATATAATTACAATATAAAACTAATATAGGTACATTGTAACAAATGTGTAACTAAAGTATAAGTACTATGTAATTGCATTATAACTAAAACCACGTAGCTTGGTGGTGGATAGCGCGAGCATGTCGTTGGCATGTTGTGGGTTTGACTCTAGCACCTTGCATGGAGTGTTTAATTTTTGCTCTCTATCCTGTGCATGAATCTTAAAAGTAAAAAAGACTCCCCTAACTTTATGTAGTGTGCAATTGTATCACTGACATGTGGGCCATAACAAAGTAGGGCCCATATAATCAGTGTTACAACTACAGACTGCACAAAGTTAGAGGATATGTTTCCCTTAAAGTGTATCCCATGGTCGAAAAAGCGAATATGTTTCCCTTAAAAGTGTATCCCACGGTTCCCCGAAATATCTATATCGAGTTTCTTCCCTAAATTACTATAGTAGTATAGCAAATTCGTTTGGAAGTACAACTTTCGACATAAAAAATCTCTAAAAACTTTCACATGTAATTACACTGGCGGTAAAATCATAAAAGTATAACTTCACACAACCTATCAATATCGCTTATACATTTTCAATATAAGGCCCTATTTATATCACACCCTAAAATTTTTCATCCTATCACATCGAACGTTTGAATACTGGCATGAAGTATTAAATATAGGCCAAAAAAATAACTAATTTTACATATTGAGACTAATTTATGAGACGAATCTTTTAAGCCTAATTACTCCATGATTTAACAATATGGTGATGCAGTAAAGATTTGCTAATGACATATTAATTAGGCTTAATAAATTCGTCTCGTGATTTACTGACGGATTCTGTATTTATTTTTTTATTAGTGCCCAAATACCCTATGCGATACCCTATATAATATTTGATGTAACACGCCAAAACTTTACACCCATAGTTCTAAACACCCCCTAAATTTAGTCTATTCACTTTCAATATGAATTTAGTCAATATTGATTTTGTGAGGTTAGGGGGTTTGCTTCTTATGAGCATATCTTAAAGGTGTGTGTACTCATGTGCGGTTTGTGTAATAAGGCACAAGAAAGATTATATCAGCATATATGACCCTGAAAGACAAGGGCATGAATGAACTGGATAATACTTACAATTCGGAAAAGTAAGGACGTGCATGTAGTGGATAATACTTGCAATTCACGGCAAGGCGACAGCAGAACACCAGCAATTAATAACTGGTGAATAAAAACAAGAAATCCATGGAATTACATTGCCACCCCAAATCAAAATTCCCCAAGATTCTATGGTATACCTCCCCCATACCAGACCCTTTACATCACCAAAAGGCAAAATGAAAAGAGGTTCATCAATTAGAAACATCCTGACAATCTAAATTACCAACCTACACAATCTTACTCCTTGTAGCAATTACACCACTGCTCCAGTTCTCTACTATTTCTTCCCAGGCCCCCTTCACAATGTATTTACCACCAAGCCCCCATTCACTTTCTCCAGTATACCCCCAAAAACATATTTACCTCCAAGCTCACCTCCCCATTTCCGGTATACCGCCATCCTTGACTTGAACAGAAGAACAAAGGATGAATGCTAAGCTACTGCACTACTGACCTACTAAGCAATGACACCAATGAAATTTCTACACCATCATCTTTGCACTTGCTTCGCAAGAGACAATGGCAAACTGCCTTCTACCTTGGATGGGGTTTCTCCAAGAGTGACCTAGTTTGTCGGAGCTGCGGCCTCAGGCCCGGAGGTGAAGGGCATTGGTTCTGTGAGCGCTGCAGCATCTGAACCATGGATGGTGTTTGATAGGAGTAAACAAGTGTGGTACTGTCTGTAGAGTCACCACGCGTTGTAGCTCTCTGCCAAGAATGTGAGCTCAATCCAGATAGCAGATATGCCCTCCCCGAAGCTTCATATCGTTGCCGGCTAGCCATCCTATCCTGCATCTCCTTTAGCTCTGCATCAAGGGAAATGCACAGGCGATCCCCACTCTTTCTTGAAAAAGATTCCGAGAGTATCCTCCGACAATGCTCAAGAATAGCCACTGCATCAGAAAGAGCACCCCTCTCAGCTGCTGCCCTTGCAGCCTCAATAGCATCAGCAGCACGGACACGGTTCCTCTCACGATCAACCTCCATGCAAACTGGCTCAGACGTAGGTGACTTTGGCCTTAGGATTTTTACCTCATCTGCATGAATCTTGATGGCTTCATTCGTTACTGAATCTCTATAGGCACATGCAACCTTCAAAAGCATGGTCTGATCACGAGATTGTGGGAAGCTCAAAGATAGTAAGAAGTCCCTCTCCTCATCAGCATAAAGATGACCAACTTCAATTGATCCATTTCGTCCATCTCCAGCCACCTTACTCAAGTAACTACCAGATTTGATAGTATGAAGCTGAACACTAGGATGCACGCATTCCACAGTTAGTCGCATATCCTGAACAACAACACTAAGAAGCCCACCAATGCACTGAGCAAATGCATCCTGAATCACACTTTCATCCTCGATAAAGGAAAATGTACCACCAGAGGACTCAGCAATTGAGTGCAGAGCATCTGAATCATGATCTGCACCAAAACCAAAGCCATGGACAGGCACTGTGCAGATAGTATGATTCAGAATGGAAGATGGAACAAGTGACCTATAATCTGGACGGGTTCCCCTAACATTTGAGGAAATATTGTATGTGTCTTGACCATCTGATAACAGAATAATGCTGCAGACTGGATTCTTATAATTGCGATCCTCAATAACCTTGGCAGCTTTCTTCAATGCATCAGCAATGTTCGTACCACCACCAGCACCAAGCAAGTTGACAGCCTGCAAGGCTTGCTGCCTGCCAGAGTGAGACATCCGTCGGAGATGAAACAACCTTCTGGCAGTAGATGAGAAAGCAATAACTGAAAGGCGATCCGAAGGCCCAAGGTGTTGAATAACAAAACCCATGGCTCGTTTTAGGAGTGCTAGTTTGGTGCCTGCCATACTGCCACTAACATCAAGCACAGTAACCAGATCAACAGGAGCGCGAGATGTAGGGTATCCAATTGAGGTGGCATTGAATGGTCTGCCTGTGACTTGTTCTGGGTTAGCACAAGGGGCTTTTAGATGGATCAAAACAGCAAAATCATCTTCAGATGACGACTGTGGAATGGCTGAGAATTCAGGATATGTCTTGATCTCCACAGCTCTACTGCATCTAGCATCACGACTGTCACCAGACTCTATCAGCTGCAAAGGTTCATCGTCATTGAAATCAACTGGCTCAGAAGTATGGGAACCAGAAGCTTCTCGATGGTGACTTGGAACCTGGCGTAGAAGAGCCATGTAGGTGCCTTGTTGGGGTAATCGAGCTTGATTCACATTCAACCCACTTCTACCACGAGGTACAATAGAAGATAACGAGCGGTTAAAGGGTATCTCTTTCCACTTCGCTCGACAAACTGGGCATACATAATTTCCATGTTTCACACTGGAGGAGATGCAGTGGAAGTGAAACATGTGAGAACATTCAGCAGTGAAAAGTGCTTGTCCATGGCCTGACTTCATGGGATCGAAACATATTGCGCACATTCCCTGTTGAGAGAAAAAAAGAAAGATGTATCAATTTAATTGTGCAACATCAGAACTCACCCCTTCACATTTGAAATGTGCAATCAACATGGAGACATGTGTTTTAAAACATGAAACATAAGGGCTTAAAGATGAGCCTTGCTGCGAAAAGACGGTTCAACTGATATTAATGATACTTTATTGAGAACAAAACTTTTTGTATGTTACATCCAACATAGTGAACAGACTGGCATATAACAACAACCCTTTGTCCTGATATCCACACCCCGTACACCCCTATTTAAGTCCTTATCTTCACAGATCAATTCCACTGTACAGAATTAAGCCCTGCCTAGAGTTTGCCATACTATGACAGAAGCCGATCTCAAATTCTGAATCAACTCCAAGATCTGCATAGATATCTCCACTAATCTGCATGTTCAACAAATTTACTTAGGCCCACCTTAAATTACCATTATCCAGACTTATTTTTCATCCCAATTCTTCATCAAAGTGTATCCACGTCGAACAATATATTTGTTTGTTATTTCTGAAACATAGTCGGATAGACACAAACTGCAATTCATGGACTAAAGTTACTACTTTCTTGATTTATTTTCATTGGATCAATATGGCAACTCGAATAGGGCCTCACATGAAAGCTAAACAAAAATATATCACAAACACATACCAGAACTAAATGAATTGATGTCATATCACATCCATTCCATCTTTTTTTGTGACATACAAGGTGTTGGATCTATTAGTTCATTGGTGCCATCATAAGCTAAGGCTGTGTTTAGTTCCACGCCAAAATTGGAAGTTTGGAGAAATTGAAACGATGTGACAGAAAAGTTGGAAGTTTGTGTGTGTAGAAAAGTTCAATGTGACGGAGAAGTTGGAAGTTTGAAGAAAAAAGTTGGAATCTAAACAGGACCTAAGATAGGTACTGTTATTGATTTTGACTAAAACATAAAAACCAAAGCATGTTCAAACAAATACATCTTTTGACTAACACCAAGTCAGCAACCACAACTGTATTTTATATTTTATGATAACGTATGCACGTCATAAATACCAATGGAAACAGCACACCTGATTTTACGGTTTCCTTACTGATAACTTAAAAGAAATACATATTTTGCATTTGGGCACCCAATATATGTTGCATTTCGCGGCATTACCTTGACAAATAAAATCATTTTAAACCAGAGAAACCACAAAGAATTGTCAGACTTGCATGCGTGTCAATATATTCAACTAAACACAGTAAGCGTTCATGCCAGTTTACCAAATTGTCAAATTTGATAATATAGACAAATCAAGCTTAGCAAAGGCAGTAATGCGGAAATCACAATAAATAACTGTGCGATGCTTATTATCAGAACTTTTCAAGTCTTCACTTCTGACCAAGGCAGATAAATGTCAACCAATTGAGTAATGAGTAATGAGGAAATCCTCGTGAAGTAGTTGGTCAAACAGGGCACTACCATACACAATATCTCGCTAAATCAGAACTGCTACTAAACAAAAGGTGTGAACACAGCAATAAAAGGCATCAATGAACACCACACGAAAAAATAGTATTGTATCAGAAAACATCACAAATTGACATTGACCATTCAAAGAGATCACGCACATGCCATGACAACTAAATAAAGATAAATATAAAAAGAACAGTATAAGGTAATTCTAATAAGAGGCTGGTGATACAAATTTTCAGTGATGGATGACAGCTACAGTTGGAAAACACGCCTTTACAAAATTAATTGGAGTTGGAGTACGTAGTAGTAGTACTAACGGAGTAAGAGAGAGACGGCAGGATGATACTACACGTGAACACATGGGGAGTTGCTGAGGAAAGAAGCGAACTTTCCCATTCCGGAACGAGCAAGTGGAACAGTAGAAAAGAAGCTTACGTTAAGATATGAATGTATCTTAGACAGAAAAAAAAAACAACTGGGTTTTTTTATTTGAATTAACCCATAACGAAGCGCGATACCGAGGGGAAAAATACCAGCAGACTGATAGCTGATAGAAATTCGTAAGAATCTCTGTTGGCGTATAAATTTGAGAAAAAGAAACAAGCAGCAAATTTTTGTACTATGGAAGATATGAAATAAATACAACAGAGCCCAAAAAGAAGCTATAAAACACAAATTGATTCCTTTCTGAATGGTGAAGAACAAAATGGTATGATAGTTTGCTGGAACATGACACGAAGAATGGAGCAACAAGATGAAGCCAATGACGGATGCATCTCTTTTCTTTTTTGGATATTCCTTTGAATAATTTAGAGAATAAATAGTTTGCAGAATCATCAAAATCTGCACACAAAATGGTTTTTTTATTATAAAATGGGCAAGACCCATGTTTCCTCAGAAACAACATAGGATGATTTCAATTGCAGACAAAGTAACAAAGGTAATGACAAATCCAAACTAGCAGAGGCGAGGCTCAAGACAAAACTCAGTATTAAAAAAACAGATGCATACAAAAAAAAATTGCTAGACAGTAGACACAAACAAAGGAAACGCCCATTACTGCAACCAAAAACTGTCGGCCAGGGGAAGCACATCTGAATCTAAATCGTTCACGGGTGAAGCCACATTGCTCCAAATCCGCGCCTAACCCCGGAGGAAACCCCAATCTGCTCCGCATTTCACATCCAGCCACCCCGAACCAAGGCTACCACGGATACAATCCAAGGCACAGGTTATATAACTCACAATGAGAAGAAGAGGGAGAAAAGGAGAAGAGCCTAACCTTGGCGGACTTGGTCCCGGACTTGGACCTCCGGAGCGGGCCTGCTCCCGGCAACGCCGCGGCCGGCGTATTCGGCGCCGACACATGCGCCGCCGCCGCCGAAGACGCGTCGTGGGAGAGCGCATCCGACGCGCGGCGCTCGCTGACGCCGTCCTCCCAGTCGCCGGCGACGGCGGGGAGGCGAACGCAGAGGCCGGCGCCCAGCGCCTTCTTGGCCTTCCTCCACATCCCCTCCATTGCCCCCTAGAGCGCGCACACACCTCTCGCCCCTAGCACAGATTCGTCCCTACTCGCGACAAGCAACTACCCGCTACAAGGAGAGGAGAGGGGCGGTTTTGACGAGGAGGAGGGGGAGGAGCCGCCATTGGAGAGTCTGAGTGGCGGTGGTGAATGGTGGTGGCGATGCTGCGGCTCTTGGTTTGACCCGTGCGCCGCTGCTGATGAGAGGGACAGATGACAGGCGAGGAGGCAGACAGCCAAGCAGAGGTTGAGGAGGGAGAGAGGTGACGGTGGGTGGATGAGAGGAGGAGGAGGGGGTTATGACCCGTGGTGGTATGGTGGTGGGAGAAGCGAAATGGAAGAAGAGATGAAGAAAAAACGGAGGGGTTTTCGCTGCCGATGTGCGGTGCTGGTCAGGTCGCACGCACCCCGGTTGGTGGGCGCCGACTCCGGTCATAAATCACAGCGGAACTTGTGGCTGGGAGGATTGGCCCATATTTTGCCCACCAAGCTCAAAACGATGGAAGTGTCTCTGCTGCTCATTGCGATGTGCAGCATAGATCAGGTAAATATGGTTTTAATGTTCCTGGAGTACCAGTTCAAGGCATGTACTAGTAGCATGTAGACCGTTGTTTTGGCCTACTATCTTCCTTTTTCCGTGAGAGAGCTAATGCATTGATTTACACGCTCTAAATATTAGTATATACTATCAACTTTAGGCCCATAGAGAAAGAATCAAGAAAGAATGCGATTTTGTCAAGTTCTCGCATGCAATAATCGCGCCTTTTTTTTAAGAAAATCCCTTAAGTATCCATGAAAGTTCATCTAATCTCTTCTATACCCCTGAATTTTGCTCAATCACTTACACACCTCTGAATTTTAGTTTGGATCCCTTCCATGCCCTTTCCGCTAGTTGACCGTTAAATTCTTTTGAAAAAGTCCATTTTGCCCCTTTGCTATGAAGAAACATAATAAATTAATGAAGTATATTGTTGGAATGTAAAAATTTATTGGATGAGACTATTATATTTATGAGTATGTGATGCACCATATTATTTGTAACAAATTTACTTTTACATACGACATAAAAAGTTGATACTTATTTATTAGTTATTAAAAGTTCTTTTATGTAGCATATGTGTTTTCATAGTAATACAACAGATTTGTTTATTACTTCAGAATACATATGCTAAAAAAAATCTTTTAATAACTAATAAATAAGTATTAATTTTTATGTCATATCTAAGTATATTTATCACAAATAATATGGTGCATAACTATCTCATAAACATAATAGTCTCATATAACAAATTTATATGCTCTAACAATATACTCTATTAATTTATATGCTTCTTTATACCAAAGGGCAAAATGGACTTTTTCATAAGAATTTAACGGTCAACTAACGGTCAACTAGCGGAAAGGGCATGAAAGGGATCCAAACTAAAATTCAGGGGTATGTAAGGGATTGAGCAAAATTCAGGGGTACAAAAGGGGTACAGAAGGGATTAGGTGAACTTTCGAGAGTACACAGGGGATTTTCTCTTTTTTTTTTCTTGACATCGAACTATTACCCTTGCGGTTTGTAGATGAGGCGCATCGCATAGGCAGGTGACATAGAAATGTCTAGTACTAGTCAAGGTTGTCAGTATCCCGATTCATATCCTAGTATCTTACGATACTACGATACTACGATCTTACCAAGCTGAAACGATACCGATCCCACCTAGTATCCTAATTTTCATAGTATCTCGATCCTACTATTCATTACTACACGATCCTATAAAATCTTAGGTGGTATCCCGATTCTACGATCCCTACGATACTACAAAATATTATTTAAAATATCATGGTTTGAAAATAATGTAAATAAATATACTCAAAATTATATAAAAATCAGTTAAATATATCAAAACCAACATGGTTTCTCTTGATAAAGGTCTCTATTTGTATGACATATATCATTACTACATTTTTTTATATAGAATGTCTATATATAATTAATATAAATATTAATTAAACTTAAAAAAAGAAAATCTCATAGTATCCCGATACTACGATACGATCCTACGATGCGATATTACTTTGAGCAAAACGATACTGCCTGGTATCCCGATCCTAACAACCTTGGTACTGGTGAAGCAGCATTTATAGGATTGGCATTTGTCTAAGGGGGTGTTTAGATGGGGCTAAAATTTTTTCAGTACATATCATATCGGATGTTTGGACGCTAATTTGGAGTATTAATAGACTAATAAAAAAATTAATTTCATAAATGAGAGCTAATCTGCGAGATGAATTTTTTAAGCCTAATTAATCTATAATTATGAAAAGTTTACTGTAGCATCACATTGTCAAATCATGGCGTAATTAGACTCAAAAGATTCGTCTCGCGAATTAGTCCAAGGTTATGGAATGGGTTTTGTAATTAATGTATGTTTAATACTCCAAATTAGTGTCCAAACATTCGATGTGACAGGGACTTGGAACAAGTCCATGTTTCCCAAAGAGGCCTAAGACCCTATTTAGATGGGACTAAAACTTTTAAATCCCTATCACATCGGATGTTTGGACACTAAATATAAATATTAAACGTAGACTATTAATAAAGCACATCCATAATCTTAGATATAATCTTGGACTAATTCGCGAGACGAATCTATTGAGTCTAATTAATCCATGATTAGCCTATGTGATGCTACAGTAAACATTCTCTAATTGTGGATTAATTAGGCTTAAAAATTCTTAATTAGTATTTAAATATAAAGACTAAAGTTAAGTGACTTTAAGTGACTGAATTCAATCACCACCTAAAGGAGGCAGTCCAACACTCCATTCAATGATCCATTTGCTCATCACCAGGCACCAGCAGCGTACTACTCTTGTCCCCGTGCTTGCATATGGAGTAGTAGTAGTTGTTGTGTTTGTCCAATGTCTCGATGTGGCGCGGCCGGTGCCGCTCCATCCGGATCTGGCCATGGGGGGGAGGGGGGCGCAGATCCGCCTATGACGACGCAGGATCTGTCGCCTTCGGCCACCGCCAGTGCCGGAACCACTTCGACTGGAGGCCGGTGACGGCGGCAAGATGGGGTTGCGGATGAAGAGGAGGGAGTCGACGACGATTGCTGGAGAGGGCGAGGAGGGAGGTGGCGGCGACGGGAACCGCCGGTGGCACCCCTTGCGCTCGACGCGACTGCCGTCGCCTTCTTCGCAGAGGAGATGAGACAGAGAGAGGAGCCAGCGGAGGAGACAAGGCGGAGAGAGGAGCAGGCGAAATGAGAAAAAAGAGGAGGGGTACGGTTGGTATTTTTTTCACTAGGGTACCTTGGGCTGGGACACCCATTATGAGCTGGCGTTTCTCCATCAAGTGGCCTCAGATTTTGAAGAACCCATCTAGAGGTATTCTCCATTGAGAGATGAGTTTCATAGAGAGTACCCTCAGTTAGTGAGGACACTCTAGGGGTGGCTTTGGTTGTAGATGCCCTTAGGCTGAGTTCATTACTTACTGTTCCCAACTCCTGCCCCTCTTTTTCCGCGTGCACGCTTTTCAAACTACTAAATGGTGTGGTTTAAAAAAATGTATATACGAATGCTGTTTTAAAAAAATCATATTAATCCATTTTTCAAGTTTTTCTAACTAATATTTAGTTAATCACGTGCTAATGAATTGCTTCGTAATTTCTGCCAATGGGAGAGTTCCCAACCATAACAAACGAACGAAGCCTTAAAACTTTGATTTTCGGCCTACATTTAAAACTTTAATTACTGCCAGATTACATATACTAAACTAGGATAGCAATTTTTTCGTTCAGTGCGGTTTCCACCTACAAGCCAGGTCCGAGGCGATTTTTCAACCTACGGGTTGACCGAGGTGAGGCCATGACTTTTGGCTCTGTTTAGTTCCAAAGTTTTTTTTTTCTAAACTTCCAACTTTCCATCACATCAAACCTTTCATACACACATAACTTTTTAGTCACATCATTTCAATTTCAACCAAATTTCCAAACTTCAGTGTGAACTAAACACAACCAAGTATAGGGTCGGATCCAAAGTTTCACTTGTGGAACCCATAGAAGATGAAGAAGGGCTGACACACCTGCGGACGCTAGCTTCCCGAGCTAGCTTGCAGGCTTCGGCACCATTTAGGATCCAATATGGTTGTGACAATTTTAAACCGGGATGACACACTTTGATAAGTTCTGGATCTTAAATTTATATTTGAGAATATGTTAACCTAATAACACATGCAAATTTAGAGATCAGGCGTTCACTTTACTCCTTAAAAAACTTATTGTTCGTCCATCTCTGTTTGACAGCACCATTTAAACACCTTTTACGTTTATACTGTGGTTAAAGCACACCTCAGAGACTGAAAATCAAGCTGATAGACCAGACAGGCCAGTGCACGCACGCACGCGCTACGACCGGTTATTTGTATCGATTTTTCAATTTGACCGTCTTGCACATGCTCCTACTTGTATAGTTTTATTACTACTAGTAAATTATTTTAGGCCGCGACCGCGAGCACGTGCAGCGCGATCTCAACTCAGGCGAGATTCTCCTTAACTTCGAGCCCAAATTGCCCATTTGCAGTTTAACTTTTCGGCCATCACCTGACCCTTGTTCGCGCACTCCAGCAATCAGCGCCGGCAGATTACTTTACGGATTTAGGCCATATCGAGCACGGATTTGATGCGACGTGATCGCGTAAAGTGATCTGCATGTCTACTGCATATGCAAGCGGCTAGCCGCTGCAGTGCTGCACTGGAGTCTGGAGCCGAGCTCCTGCTAGGAGATGCAAAGCAAGGCTCCTGCTGGGAGATGCAAAGCAGAGCAGGTGGTCTCATGTTGGTGCAATCTCTGCCATGATAACGCTGCGAGAGTAGTGGTTAGCTTACCTTAGCTAGGTGTCCTTTTTGATACCCAGGTTTTAGTAGTAGGACAGTATAGTAGGAGTAGTGCTGCTTTCTGCCCATAAAGTAGCATGGACTTTATCTACTATGTCAGGGGGTGATTCATCTTTGTTAAGTTTACAAGACTGTAAAAAGGTTGCATCATGCATGGCACGGGAAGTTTAACACCCTTTTAACCACCCCCTGGCCCCTGGGGAGGTTGTGGTTTGCTAAAGTTGATTTGACACTAAAAAAAGATGAGTACCCCTTTGGCACGATCGTGTGAGTTTGACTGACCAAAGTTTTTTTTTTAAGGAGTCGCTCTCAAGTGAAGCGTGAATATATTTGACCTGATTATTGCAACAACAAAAACGATAAACATGCGAAACCGCATGTATTGACCGCCGTTTGGTTCATTTTTTATCGCTGGAATTGAAGGAGCTGTCGTTTACGTTTGCTAAACTACGATATGACAGTCTATTCAGAGATGAAGGAAGGTCATTGATTAGTACCTACCACAGCTCAAGAAAGATGACTCTGTTTAAGCCTGTCCTCTTGGGGGGCCATGTCAACGGATCCGACTTTGTGTACTAAGGATTAATGGACCACTGCGATATGTTTGCACTTTGAAGCCTTTTAGCATTGC